TATATATAGAAAAAGCGAGAGAGAAAGGGCCAAGATGCATGTCTGATTTCATGCCTGTATCACGTAATCATATCGACCTCAGTAGTTTTATAGAGTTCACTGAGCACAGAGAAGAGATCTAAATTCAACTTAATACTAGCTAGACCATTCGGTACTAACTTGGGAGGCTTTTGTAGGATTATTAATATGGAGCCTGGGACGTAAGTTCCATTGGGACAGTGCTATCTGAGAATAAAGAATCGGGGCTGTAGTGGAAAGTCCAGATTGTGTGTACATGAATAGAGACAGCGATAACGCGCCAACTTATTCCCAAGGAGGCAACGAGCCATTTCGAACGAAGAGTGGTGAATAAAGCCTGAGCCTCGGTCGGACATCAGTACCAGTGGGCACCTTTAACGTTCATGGCACCATCGTTTGAACCCCCGTAGTTCTGCTATACCGGCTTTGCTATCAGCCGAAAACACCAGGTTCGAAGCTAAAGGTGGCGGGCTGGGAAGAAATGATGTGTGGCAACGAGGCCTGCGGTTCGACCCGCTGTGCTCCGTTGGTACCGTGAAGTCGGACGCAGAAAAGCCAGAGAAGAAAGAGCATTAACTTCAATAGAGGTTCAGATGTTTTCAGAGTTAGAAAAATCGTAATCACAATGATGGTCGGTGACCTTAGGGTGTGTATTTTTTTCAAATGAGTCGAATCCAAATTGGTCCCAACCATTCTGTTAATCAGTGTCATGTCATTCCTTACGTTACGTTGTCATGAAAGCATCGTTTTTCAGTTCAGCCTAACCTAGAAATTGTCCATATGCGTTTCATAGTAAACGATCAATAAACAGCTGAATAGAATCTAACATTCGTATTGACTGAAGGTAATTAGCCACCTAGGTTGAAGCGAAAGTACCGTAATTAATTAGTCTACTCTATACATGTTATGACTGTACCCCTGTCGTTTTGAGTGAGATGGTGAACGTAACAGTAAGCTATAAATAAAAGGCTATAAATCCTAAAAGATTGACTTATAGACCACCCATAATAGACGCTATTCATTTACACGCACGCACGCACACACACACACACTTCTTCAAGACCGAAAAGAAAAAAAAATAGGCTTTTCGTCGTTGTAGTAATGATCTTACTGAAAAACTGCCTGATTAAAGGGCTAACCCGTTCGACGATTTGATTTGCAAATGGTAGTTCTAAATGCTTTCTCTGATTAATATGCCTACCTAGAAACTGTCCTTTTTTTTAGTTTGTAGTTTAGAATGAGCTTAAAGGGCTTGTGAGGAAACCCATTTGCGTCTGAGCGGGAGCCCATCATTGTTCGATGTGTTCGACAGACTAACTGGGAGAGCTATCGTCACTTCACCCGTGCTGATAACGAGGTTAAGCGTTGTTATGTAAAATGGCCCGAATATATATTAATTATGCCTCGCTTCCAAGTTAAACAAAAGCACAAATAAATATCTTAATGAAATGCTTTGATCGAAATAGAAGACAGTATGTGGAAGCGGGCAGCTCGATACATTATTGGCAGTAAAAGCTCTGAAGACGGATCAATAATTTTGATGTGATAACAGGATGGCTGGCAATCTATCCAGTGCTTTACCTGCACCAAGAGTGGTCCTGCTGAGGGAACCTATTTTTCTGCGAGAAGACAGGACGCTAATGCAGAACGTTTCAAATCGAGATATTCGTCACAGATGCACGAGCTTATAGCATTCGTAGGTCACTGCACGATATTAATACGTATACTGATTTGACGACTTCTACCGTGTAGCCACGCAAGGAGGCCGGCCTACCTAATTTATATAAACTAGTTCTATTTATAGGCGATCGCTCTTTAAGCCCAATCAGGCCTAATTCAAATCGAACTAGACCAATAAGCTTAGTGGGCTTTAAACGCCTTTTGTTGTACAAGCGTGGTTTTGCACTTATTAAAAATTTGAATTTAGTAGTTTGTCGTGACCCTACAAACAGCATTTGTAGGGGTTTCTGAGTGGAGATAGGATTTTACGTTTAGATTAAAAGGGAACTCGTATCGGATGCAATTTTCGCAGTTATCAATATTTAACGGTGTAACAGAGACAAATGTTCCGTCTTGAAAAACACAGCACGCACAGAGTATATGTTATGTATATGGCATTTATGCAAACGATCGCACAGTTTTATACAGTTTGGTACAGTATATATATTTTAGTATGTCTATCACAAATTTTTTTATTAGCAGGCGAAAGTGTGCTAAGCAAAACTAGCTAGCCGGGTTAATTATTTCAAATGAAACATTTATATTATTAAGTATAAAGTAAAAAACTTCTGGGCTCCGCTGATCACGCTCGCTTGAAATGAAACATCAATAATGAATACAGGATCGTACGATGCGATTTTCCGTTACGTTTATTATGGTGAGAACGTTACGTGAAAGTATTAGGTTAGGATACGTCTATATATAGGTAGGATATATTCTATAGTACAATACGACTTGTCGATAATGATGATCGTTCGGATACTCGAACGAGCCATTAATTTATAGGCGAAATGTTTCATCGCTGTTGTACTAACTCATACCAATTCGACTTGAAGGATGCCTATGTTGTTAAATTAAAACAATATTCGAAATTATCAAGCGTGTTTCAGCTTTGGCTGACACACAGCTTCAAACGCTCAAAAAGTTTCAACACATGTTACCGTTCCATAATTGTGAGAAACTGCACCTCCTCAACATAATATAGCTAGCTTCTTTTTCTCTTGCTGCATAATACCTTGTCGCTGAAGTTGCTTCATAATTCATTGGTGTTTCATCGTCCATTAATCGTAATCAACTCAATATTAGTCACGAACCTTAATTAGGTTGTAACGATATTTATAGGCATGAACCTACGTGTCTACCTAGATGTGTCGAATCGATGTTTATCTGAACGCCTTATTTACCATTAGTTGTTATCGAACCGGTTGTAATCTGACGAAATAAAACGTAATCACTAGCTGACAGGAAAAAGCACGATAACCATACGTTTCCTTTGGCTCGGGCTGTATTCACAGCTGAATGTGAGAGTTGTGCGGTTGTCTCAAGAAGTATAGTGACACAACAGTGCTCCCCTCTAATTAGGAGGGGATTACTATCGCCAGGGAAAATTCTCCTTCCGTTACCTTAACAGCCTACACAAAAACTTTAATATTTCCCTCCCATGTTTCTTATAGAGGCTCGACTAACGAAGGGTTCAGGGTGCGTCGTGTAGGGAGTGAGGATGGCAATAGCTCCCCCTTTGCAAAAGCCCAACGTTCGGCTTCAGCGCAACCTTTCTCTTCCCGGTAGAACTTTTTTGCAGGCAATTGGTGGGGTGATAGGATTCTGATAAATTGTGTCTAACAACCTCACCTATGGCAGGGGCATACCTGTGTAGAGTTGTACGCATTTTGACGGGCACCCGGTTGAACAGATGCTCTGAGATTGTGCTCGTTTCAGTTATTCCCAAATTACTGGGGGGGGGGGGGGGGGGTGTTAAATGAAAGAAGCTTATGGCTGTAGCTACTGACAACGATTCTACTTTGTATTGAGTTTAATAAGGATACGTTATTGATCACAAATAGCACAATCCATACATGGGAACTTATCGAGACTGCCATAAATGTAGTTTTGTGCTAGCGTGCAGACAAAACCACGTGAATGGAATCGTGTTTTCGTAAAAACATCGAGCTTAGTAATTGAGTACTATATAGGACAGTTTTTAAGTTATATTTCCTCAGCAAGCCTTTAGTAGCAATCACAGTACGTCTTGACATAAATTACATAAACGAATTCGTAATCTAGAAGGAATCACTGCAGTCTCTAGTACATAGAGCATATTAAATATAGCGCTAAAGATAACGACAGTTTGACACGCTTTTCCGGGTACGGCTTATTTTTTGACAAAAAAAAACTTTAGCCTCGACGTAATGGGCACAAGTACGCTGATCGATATATAAGACAGCTATCTCGCAATTAATAGGAAACCAGTTGATAGCTCAGAATATTTGAAATACACAGTGTATGTGCGAAAAGCTCCGCGTTCTTTATTACGTATGTACACGTTGTTTAACTACGATAATTGAAGTTGCAAGTTCGTATTAAGAAAATATAGCAGTTTGATACGCACTTGATTTAAATGTTACGCGTTTTTGTTGTTCCCCGATGTTTGCTTACAACAAATTTTCTTTCTTTGCTCAACTAGTAAAACTACTGTAACGCTGATTTTATAAATGTCCATAAATTCTACATTGCTGCTGCTGCTGCGGTTCGAATAAACATGAATTTCTGAACAGATTTGGGCTTTGCTTTTATGTTCGAACTGCCGGACGCATGAAGTATGGTCGAAACTTTTTTTGCGGGAAGCAGCCACACAGAAGAGGCAATGTTATGGGCCCTCGCGAGGAAACGAGGCGCTTCCAGCAAACATGCAAAAGGGGTGTCGCCAGTAATAGTTAAACAGGAAATAGCTATTTGCTGCGTCCTTTTTTTAGTTGTGATGCTAACTCGTGCAGTAGATAATGAAGACCTTAACAGGAAATGCGCTGAAATAGGGGCAACGAAGGCTTGATGGCAACCAAATATGGCTTGCAGTACGCTATAACATATACTTGATTTACCCTTGTGTCGTTGGTAAAGTTTTTAAGTACATTTTCATTCTCTAAGATATTTTTCGCATTACCGTTATATGGTTCAAATTTGACGTATAGACTTTTAAATATGATAAACGAAATTATGCTTTGTTATAAGATTGTCAAGAATAACACAGGCTAGTGGTTTCTAGCGGAAACTACACGCTGATATAAAACGGGAAAACAATATAGTGTTTCTTTATAGAATATTAAATGCCCTGAGCAGTTTTTTAAATGGTTAACTATACCTCGTTGACGTTCAGCGGCGTTACCTCCAATTTCAGCCATGGAGTTTTATGCTACACTAACTATATGTATCTTTGGCACATTATAAAATTGTAAATTGTGAATGATAAACTAAAAAAAAAAAACACGTTACAATATAAATGCACATAATTGGTAAATTAGCTTGTTAATGATACTAGGCTTGCTCTATTACAGTTGTTATGTATGAATAGGGTAAGATCGTACACTGATATGCTGATATTGTACTTAAAACTTTGCCGTTTTCAGAGACTATTCATATATATTCACATAAAACGAAAAAGGTTAAATGTCATCGGGCCGTTGCACATGCCCAGGCCCAAATCCCAAAGTATAAGCTAGGAAAGTTGGCATATATTGCTTCGTATCGTGCTGCGGTCACTTGTCATGGACGCTTATTCAGAGTTCGGCAGATGTCCATGAACGACTTGACAGACAGGAAGGTAAGTGGAGCTCCAAACTCTCCAGGTGTGTCCAGAAGCGGTAGACCAATGGATCGGAGCAACAGTAGAACATGATCAAGAACGGGTGTCGGCTGAAAGGGGACAATTTCGTGCTTGATTGATAGAGCGATAGATAATCTGGTGACATCATCATTTGTTCAGATGAATTGAAGGACAGTGCAACAGAGCATCGTGAGTGACGCGAACGGTTGCCCCCGTGTAGGGCATTGCGCATGCTGCAGCAGTGACGGCGATAAAGACGGTAAAAGATGCACCGACTACTCTGAACGACCAAAATAAGATAATGTTAGGTATCACTAAACAATGTTCGGTCTTTCTTACGTATATAGCCCAACCTATTACAATTTACAAGATTTGAAAGGCTGCCGAATCACTATCTCCAATTGGTGAGTACGAGCATAAACATTGCCTGTCAGCATTTAAGGCAGCATGATAAGCGCATACTCGCATACAACAAGGATTTTCTTAAGATTAATTGTATAGTCATAAGAATTAGTGCTAGAGCTGAGGAGGTGCTCATTTCTTTAACTAGAAAGTTCCACGTATTTTGTTCGTTGTATCTGCAAGCCGCTATGGTTGCATTGAAACGCCACCTATTGTTTCTCCTTCTACAAGCACGTTATAGTTAATCTTACAATGGTCGGAACTCTTCTGCTATTATGCATACCTCGCTTTTTATTAGAGCAGTGTCAGTCTAGCTCTAGAGTCTGTGTTAACGATACTGTCTTCATAATGACGAAATATTTTTCCTGAGCTCAATCTTTTTTGAGAAAAAGATATTTCCGGATCTCGTTTCGTTCCATTCCCTCCGTTTCCGCCTTAGGGGTTTTGACGTTGCTCAGATCAGCTATTACCTGATGATCAGCTCGTAAATCCCTGTTAATCACATCTGTTTTTGCACTATTCTTCAAAAAACACTTCATGTTTTTTTCGATAAGAGGGGTATAACTAATGTGATGGTGATTCACTTTTAAGCGCCTAATATACATTGTGATTACGTGCACAGGCCAAAGAGTATTTGAAAGCAACTGTACATACAAGGCCAAATCGGAAAGAGGTTGAATTTCCAGTATCTGTAGATCTGCGCTCACAGGTGGGCGTTGATGTGAAGAGCACAAAATTGCGTAATAATTTTACCTCGATATAGAATTCTGCATTGTGTTGCTTTTCTAAATACTTGTTTGGAAAGCTATGTAACATTGGAACATATTCATTTTAATAGCAGGTCTTAGGAAGGATCTCGCCACCAACAAATATAATAGCCTACAATAAAGTTATACGAGAACTAACGTTGAGGTAAAAGGGGGTAAGTCGGAGAGACGGACAGACCCTTTGTAGGAGATGCTAGGAAGTATTAAAAATCGATTATCGAGCTCTCGTCCCCTGCTTTATTTAAAGGAATCCTTTGAACAGGGTGTACCAATGGAAAAATTTATTAACGAATTTACCAACGTATTGTCAAATGCCAGGCAATAAATTGCCAATTCAAGTATCTTCGGGGCCCGTAACAGTGGCCGTACGTTGAAAGTGTTTCGGACTAAGTTAACGGAGGGAGTGGAATCGAGTTCTGTATAACGCAACTACCCAGTTCTTTAGGCGCGCTGAGTGTCTCTGCTATGAAAACGCCGTGCGATACCAGTGCGAAATAGCCTTTACCAACGTGACAGCTCGGTTAATTATACTAACATTTACGTTAGAGGAAAAACACTGTAAAATGGAGAACCTTATTTAGAAGTACATTGTGATTTCACGTTATATGTTCATTCATTTCAATCGTAATATGGAAGCATGCTGAATCAGATGTTTCATCAATCAGATGTTTTGTTCTGCTGCATTGAGTCAAAGTATTATAAGTCCTGCCGTTATATCTGAAGCCTTAGCAAACGAACGTGTTAGCAACATAAGTAGTTTATTACAGTTGTATACTGAATAGCTACTACAAGTCCAGTTTCACATATTGAAATTTAACGAATCTTCGTTTCACTCTAAAATCTAAGTCAATGTGACAAGCTGGGCCTATTTTTCACATTGCCACCTTTGCCGTGAACTGGTTGAACTAGATGCTCTTCCTCGATGTTGAGTTCGTATTGGCCCAGACGTAGCCAATAGTATTAGGCAATAAATTTATATTTCATTTATTTAGTTCCGTTCCATACTGTCAAACTTTCTCGATATTTGGCCATATACGAATGTACCATGTGCATGGTAGCATGAGGACAGACGTCCATCGGCTTGTTCCTGTGCGCGTTGACTTGCTTTAGTTCGCCGGCAGCGAACCGTTAAGTTGGCCGTTAAGTAACCGAAACATTGGAACCGTTCGTTTGCAGGATGTTTTCGCGATATAAATGATAGTTGACTCCGAAAGGGAAAGCCAGAAAGGTCAATCAAGAGACCTTTTCATCATACGTTTATTAAATTGGTTTCCGAATAAAAGCAGCACGCAACCATTACTAGCGGGGACATTTTCATCAACAACGCACAATGACGCGCTATGGCGCTGTTTTGCGTCATTGTGCGTTCTAATAGAAGTCGCAGTTCATGTACAGGACTTGGCAGCCCTTGTCGTATGTTCTAGGTACTCTTATTTTTCTCCCCTTTTGATCCCGTTATAATGTCATATGCATTATGAACGCTCGTCAATAAGCTAACTGATCTGCCGGTGCCTGCGTTTCTTTATGATTTTACATTACCTGCCATCTTGACGCCCCGTTGTTTTTTTCTCTATCGATGATTGTCGGCTGAGTAATTTGCGATTCTACCGCAGAATCCATGTGAGGCTAGGCCAAAGGCGCGGCCTGCTACCTAAATATTTTCGTAAGTTCCCGCATGTTTGCGTATTAAATTATATTATGTTACTACACCTACCATAGTTGTGCAAAAAAACTCAAATCAGTTTTGACGCGGGCCGTTTGTAATTATATCATTTGCTATTGAAACCAATATCGGCCTGGTTATTACCTTAACATACCTGGTATAATTACGCAAAGGGTTCAAGCTAACAAGTACTGAAATTTTTGAGACGTTGAATTTTTCTTGATTGAATCAGGAGGATTACGGATAGGGTTTAGCCATATATTCTGTGTTTACGGAGCCGGTAATAGGTCTAATTAGAGCCCGCTGTATAAAAGTAGCTTAGCTGTATTACTATCCTATCTATCCTATTAGCTACAGCTAGATGTCAGCAAATTTTTCACGATGATCTTTTACGTGAGTGCTCATGCGCATGTTTCTCAATACAATACAATACGATGACGAGAAGCAAGAGACCCTATGAACGTAGTCTTGCTCTAGGTCAGATCGACATTTCGCTCAGTAAATATTACGGGGGTGTTAGCAACGCACGACGATTTACGCCGTTCGGTATACGCATTTTACTAGTGAACTTTTTGAAAATAGGCTGCTTTCATGCTCTAAGTCATCGTATATCGATACCTTTTTAATGGTTTATCTTCACTGCGTCATCGGCCCAGCAATGTTATATTATTTGATTTTCATCGTATAAACTACAATCTACATAGCATATATGTACGATAGATGAGCAATATCTGTGAAATGTCCCTAGAACGTAAACCCCTATAGTGTTTCTTGATATCATGCAATGTTTTCTTTTATGTTTAAAATATCTTTCACTCCGTGGACACACATGCATGGCGTAAATTAAGAGTGCACCGTAATTACGATAGCGATCTGGGCGAAGAATAGTTAAAAGTTATTGAAATTTCCATGTCTGGCTAAACTTAGTTGTCATAAGTCTTCAGCAAAATCAAACACTTCGACTGCGGTATTTTCGATCAGCGTGCGTCGAACATCATGCTGATGATCTTTGGTGTTATCTCCTTTCGGGATTCCATTAGTTGTGTGTGTACTCCATTTCTTGGTAATCCGACAAGCAAGTCCGGAAGAAGCTTTCTTTGCAGCTTTCAGCGTCCACCTCCAGTCCCATCTTTCCAATAGGTTCCGGTGTCACCGGTTCGCTGGGGCTGCCAATGAATGCAATCCCTATGATGAGCTTTGGGACGATCGACGGTTCATCCGCGCGGCGCAGCGTCTGCGCAGTGTTGAGCCCGCCGTCACAGAGAAGACCAAGCAGCGGACAGCTCAGCTCAGCTCGCCGACCAGCTTACGGCAGCAAGGATCTCTAGGAGATTCACCCTCCTTTTCTTGTGACATTCTCGAGATAGGATGCGCTACCCGGGACGGCGGCTGCGAAAGGAGAAAGTCCCCTGCCATCGATCGGCTTCTTTTTGCTCGCTCATTGAAGCAAGAGAGTAGGGAGAGAACGTTCGGGAGAATCCACTGAGAGGAAGGGACGGTGATCCAGACTGAAGAAAGGACGGGGCTACGATTACTACGCGAGAGTGGACACATGTCCCATTGCTCTCGCTCCTCCGCTAATGATTAACATGGCCGAGCCAGACAAATCCGAACTCAGCTTGTAGGATAGTGTAGCTGACTGTGCTTAGGCTAGAGGCCGAGCATGTTCCGTGTCATACGTCAAACCCTTACAGTTGCTGAAGCTAGAGCTATGGCTGCTGCCGTCTGTGTATATGATATACGTGGAATGGTGTCCGGGTGTCACGAAGCTCCGACGTCACTGGAGATCTTTGATGCCGGGGCTGTCTGTTTGCAAGGATGGCAAGAGGAGACTTCATTGAGAGAGGAAGCACAGCTAACAGAGAAACGAAGTGTAGGGTGTAATGGGTGAACATAGACAGGTTCTACCATGTACGGGACGCGTCACAAACATCGAGGGCGCTCAGCGTCAATCACGATGAGAGGGCAAAGATGCGAGAGCTGGCTACTTTGCCTCGTTGGCGCAACGCTACGTATTAGTGATCTTACCGCACTCTTCATATTCTGACATAGTGGGATAGCCCTAACGTCAGTCGCTGCCAACCAGCCCACAGAACGTGCAGTACGACGAGACAATGGTCTTGGGGCTTTCCAGCATTTCCTATGCAAAAAGAACCTGTATAAATATGAATTGGATTGCATTAATTGCTAAATCTGCTAGGAAATCGGCTCTTTGCCTTAGCGAGCATATACGTAGAACGTCGGCTGTAATAAACGTTACCATTGCCACAAAAAGGAACGTCGACAAGGCGATTTAATAGTTGCTGTCTGCTTGTAAACCTTAAAAACATATGTGGCATATGTGATAGAAACTTGGGGTACGCGCAATTATTATATAGCTGGATATCCCTATCTACTCTATTGTATCATTTCTGATTTTTTTTTTCGAAAATTAGTGCCAGTTTAATTTCTTTAAATCCTTCAAAAAAAAAACAGAATCGGGTAACATGATTGATGTTCAGATGTTCTCCTGATCTTGTCAGGACGCTAAATCGGCTTTCATCACTCGAGAGACATCCAGCCGTTTTTTTGATGTGTTGCTAGAAAGGTTTTTTCGCATTACTAGAGTATAATATTAGATAGCTTTGTGATGTACTACATGAAAGATGTCGCGGTACCATTTTCTATAAAACTTCACATTTGCAGTTTCCAGCTATATCAGAACAGTTTTATAACGAGGAAAAGCCGCATCAATAAATCTCCTCTTACTGAAACACAAAGTATAAGCAAAACGCTACTTCAAATCCAAACAGCAATTTTAGTATCGGTGAGTAATAATAAAAGCTGGGTTTTACTTTTGCTATACCCACATGGTCTACACTTAATCTCTAATACGTGTTCACCTGTCACCCAGTAGAAGAGAGCATGCTATTGTGGCGCGTTTTCTTTGGCTTTCAATTTCACAGTCACATAACAAATGGACACGCGTGGCCACGAGCAAATTTTCATGTGAATGTGCAAAACACATGTGCATGTGTATATTCGACAGCAAATAGCTGTC